AAAAACACACTGATCACCATAATCACCCATGTCCTGAAAAGGACAAAAACTGATCTCACAGCCATAAATACTCATCTCCCAAACAAACTGCACCACACCACAGAGTACTGTCCTCCGAAGATGCTGGCCACAGAGACTGGTGAAATGTTAGGAAGAACAACTTTCAGAACACGACCAAAGAGCCCAAAAAACCCACAACAACCATTAGATCCCGGCTGTGAAAGCCCTCGCGAAAACCTTAACCTATAACAATCATTGGATCCCTACTGTGAAAGCATTCGAGAATACAATGCCAATTATGACAAGCAGGAGTCCTCCAAGGACTAAGAAAAGTATCTTCCCAACAACAGCCTATACATGTCTTCTGCTGAATGTCTGATTTGCCCCTAGATCTATTTAATTAGGAAGCATGATACCTGCATCGATAAACTAATCATAAATAATCTTGCTGCCCTTTGGTTTCCAGTTTATAATGTCAACTTTGTTTCTGTAAACTAGGCAAGGAAAAAGGCAGTATTGTTCTTGGGTATACTTTGTTCCCCATTTTTAAAATCTCATGTGTTCATGCACTGAAATGGACAGAACAGAAGCTTCAGTTTGTTCTTGTTCAAAACATTATATTTGTGAATCAGCATTAGCTAGCAAGAACATGGATTATTTAAACAAAAGGATGGTATTTAGGTTTTCCTGCATAGCGTACTTAAAAATTGGTGCCTTTTACAAATAAGTATGACAGAAATGCAGAAAGGAAAACAAGGGGCCTCTACCAAGCTGAAAGGGTTTTTGTTACGTACAGGAGAAGCAAACGCATAATTTATGATTCCCCAAAGATTTGTTGAGCTGGGTCTGACTCAACTGCATTTTTCTGCTATAGCTAAAGACCTGCTTTAATGTGCCAAGGAAAAAAATGTGTAGAGGTTTCCATAATATGTCAACAAAGCTAACTGGAAACAGCAAAATGCCACCTTCAAATCAATTATGCCCCTTCTATTAAAATCTATAATTTCTGATATCTGTAAAACAGTAATTCACATAGTGACATCCATAATCTTGGTGCATGTGAATCATATAACAATTGGAACCCGAGAACTAAAAACATCAACACGTTTTTGTGAGATGCTCCACAGGAGGCATGGATTATGTCATCGTTATCTCACATTTATGAAGACAATTATGGCACAGACTACTCGATAGGTATGGGAAGGAGTATGGAAAGTTAAACTATTAAGAGGAGCAGTCTGCTTGGTCAAAACAAATTGGAAAGGGCTTTTTTTCAGTGAGTAAATTGTTCTAATATGATGATCTGAATGAACCGCTACAGACATCAGGGTAACAGGATTATCAAATATGAAGTAGGATTATTCACTTTATCACGTAAAAAAAGCTGTTGAGTTTCCAAGTACTGTATCATCATGTAATAATCAAATAGTTTTAAAGCCCTAATGTTAAGACAACATTATAATTGCAGACATTATATTGTTTCCTGTGCCCATAACCTAAAAGGGAGCCCTTCCCCATCTAGTGTCCTCCAGATGTTTTTGACGACTGTTGCCCTCAGCCTTAGCCTAAATGGGAGCCAGACTGCAACAAGTCATGGAAAACTACAAGTGATTCTGCCAGATCCATATCTTCCTAAAAGATCCAGAAAAGCCTTCTCTTGATTGATCACAAAGCTATATGTAGTTTATTCTATTAATAACAAAATAGTAAAGTCTATTTCTTGTGGCTTTATATGTAAGTGTGCATGACCACAGTTTCCAATATACATGATTTGCTCTCGACACCTATGCAAAGATCTTATTTCTAGGAACAAAAGCAGTCATGAGACTGATTTTCAGTGACACCATTTTAAGCAACTGACTAGAAACAAGCTCCTACTCAAATGATGATGATGTGAGTAATTTCTTACCACTAATAATGGTGATAAGTAACTACATCTCCAAATCTGTGACATGCACAATGTTTAGGCTCCAAGGGTTTAGTGATAATTGCACCATCACAGCCATTTAAGGATCTTTGGCACAAAAGAATGTGAAATGATGTAAAAATTGAGACTGCTGCTATTAGTAAGATCTATAGGCAAGACTGTAAGCTATTAATATAAAAACAATTTATTTAAAATCCACACTTCATATACATGTTACTAAAATAAATACAGGAATTCTCATAACTGTATCAAAAGCTATTTGAAACATTTGCTTTCTTTTTCTTCTAAAATTACTAAACTGGACTTCAAGTTATTCTGGAAGCAAATCATCTCCCAGTTCTTCATCAGCAAATTCGTCTTCATCCATTTTTTTCCTTAGTGCAGTTTTTGGTCTCTCGACCTGTGGTCCAAGGGGGTCAAGATAGGAAGCATCTAGTTTTAAAAAGGAAAGGTGGAGGAACAAAACCATCAGTTCTTCCAACAGCAGCAGCATTCTCTAATATTAACTATTACAAGAGACTAAATTAATATTTTACAATCACCATTGATCATACTCTCTACCACAAACAATACCACAAACTGCCAAACTGCAGAGGCCTATTATCCCACTTTTTCTTCTACATTCAGCATAGAATTCCATCCAATCTTGCACCTTTGCTTCATTTCTATTACTAAACCCTGTTGCTATAAATGTTTACATATGGTACACCGTGCAATCTGTAATTGAACTGACATGAATACTGTATATTCTTTATAGCTCTGTGGTGCAAGTAAGGCTTCTATCATATCCATGTTTACACAGAAATAAGTATAAATTGCATGTTTTATACAAAGACAGCATGCATAAGATTGCAGCCATTACTATATGATTACTCAAAACCCGCTGTAAGTCAGTGTAACTTAATTCTAAGTAAATATGCACTGTAAGTATTCTTGGCCCTTGTTCTGAATATGTATATTAGACATGTCTACAAAATACAGTAATATTGCCAGAATCGCATTCAGTATATCCATATCTGATCTGTAAAGCTTTCAAAACACACATAAGTCATATTCTTATTTAGAAATGCACAGCACTAACGACACAATGCCCAGAGCTGTTATTCAACCCAGAGATCACCATATTGAAAACAACAGATCCATGCAAACACCCTTGTATAAGTGCTGCATGAAAAGAAGCCACATGCAGAATGGACAGCACTGTGTACAGTTCATAATAGACAGCATAATAGCCATAATGTAAGACTCATGAAATTGTGACAACACATTTCTGGCTAAAAAGTGTATGGTGAACAAGTATTTTGGGTAGATTTCCAAATTGTGTCTTTTCCTCTTTTTTCCCCACAATAAAATTTAATTGCACAAATGATCTGAAAATATGAACTTTTATGTATCTGCTTCATCCACCCAACGTTATGAAAGCAAGCTGTTAGAATCACTACGAACCTATTTCTTTGCTGTTACTGCTTTCATACGGCTCATTAGACCCTGGCAAAGATCTCAGTTTAGCACTCAGACGCTCTCCTTTAACAGTGATGCTACCAGGATCTGAAAGAACAGAGAAAATTTTATCTGAAATATTATGTAGATTATATAAAGATATTAATTTTCAGTATAACAAAATCAGGCATTTATATAGTGTTCAGACAGATTAATTTCCCATTACAGCTAAATCTACAATGTGAAACTGAATGATATCTTCTTTGTCTTGTTACATGCCATCAATTTGCCTCCGATTTATGGTGACCCTATAAATGAATGGAACACCTAGTGTGGTGTAGTGGATAGAGTGACAGACTAGGACCCAAGAGGCCTGGGTTTGAAGCCCTGCTAAGCCATGGTAACTCACTAGGGGTGTAGAAGAGGTAATCAGGGCTGCTTATGACATGACATTTTGGAGGTCACTGTAAACTAGATGCAACTTGACAGCATGCTACCACAATGATACGCAGTGAGTTCAAATCTGCATTGAAACAGGATTGTACTGGCTCACAGTTTAAACCCCTATCGACAATCTTTCATCATCATCACTTTGCACTTCTCCTTGTACAAATATTTTATTTTAGAGTACAGTTCAGGTTGCTTAATGTATTGCTAAGCCATAAATTAAAGTTCTGATGGCTACTTTTAATTGTATTTTCAAGCTAGTTTAATGATTGTACTGTTTTAATTCTGTTACAGCTCTTCAGAATTTATTTGTAAATTGGATATCTTGTATAAAAATGAATCATAATTTTATAGATAGAATACAGCATATGATTTAAAATAAACATATGATGCACAGAAGAAACATGAGCGAGTGCATGTGACATTTATTGTGTTAGTTTTCTGACTTTTTTCCACCCTAGTCCTGCCCAAATACAGGTTGAATGCTGAATGCAAATTTCTGTGGATGGCTTCTGTTGCTTCCCTGTTCTATGTGATAAAGGAAGGCAGGAGAAAAAGGGAAGAAAAGTTGACATTTCACACTGCTAGACAACCAGTAAAATAAGGATTTTTAATGTACAGTATGTTTTATCTCATATGCAGCTCATCTACTTACTGCAGTTGCATCTGATTTTAAGCTGCATAAAAGTTACTCTTTAAAAAAGAAATAATGTAACTACTCCTAGAGTGAAGAATATACTTCTATTGACTAACTGTTGCAGAAGAAATAATAGTAATTAAAACCAGAAGCACAGTTTAATGTTTGTTAAGTACTAATATTATTCTAAATTTCAACACACCAAACTTCTCTATGTAATAGAAACTACACTGACCTCTTACCACTTCCAAAACTGGACTATGCCTACTTTCAGGAGAAGAGGCGGCTAGAGAATGAAAAGTAAGAATGAAACGCAAGAAAAGTGAAAAGGTAAGAGCAATAGCAGGGTGCATTCACACGAGAAACTACTGCATGACAAACATCATCAGACCACAAGGAATAGAGACCAAGAATAATGAAGGAAAGTCCACAGAAATAATAGGTTTTCCTTGTTGTAGATGACAAATGATGAAAATCTGAGGCACATATTTGATGCATGGTATTTTCCACACATGAAACAGCAACAAATTATATTCCAAATATGTTCTGCCATAGAAGGCAGAACTTGTTTACACCACAGTGGCTGCCCCCATGCTACGGAGCTCCCTTCCATGGGACAAAAGAACAGAAAAGAGGGCTAGCTTGATGGGAGATCAAGCTAGCCCTCTTTTCTGTTCTTTCGTCCTTCTTTTTCAGGCAAGCTTTTAATATGTAAGTTGCTCCTGAGGAAGGGCTTTTAAGGAGAGAGTTGTTCTTTTTAAAATGTGTGTTTAACTTTATTGTGTATTTATTGTTATATAATACAATCAAGTTGCTTCCGACTTATGGGACCCAATGAATGACTGATCTCCAAAATGTCCAGTCTTCAACAGCCCTGCTCAGCTCTTGTGAACTCAAGCCTGTGGAAGTCTGTCTGTCTATCTATTTGACTTTTATACCACCCATCTGGCTGCCAGGGCCATCTAATATTTGGTCTTCCTCTTTTCCTGATGCATTCAATATTTCCTAGCATTTTTTTTCTTTTCCAGAGAATCTTCCCTTTTCATTAAGTGCCCAAAGTAAGCAGCCTTAGTTTCAACATGTTTGGCCTATTGATTTATTTCTTCCTAATGCTTTCAGAGCAGCTTTCACTTCACTTTCTAGAATTGCTGGTTTTTCATCATAGGATTTTTCTTTTAAGGAACCTGTCACCCTTTTATCTTTTCTGTATACATTTATTTGATTTCTTGAAGCACGTATTTGTGACTAGAATGTTGTCAGCTTCACAGGAATCTATGAGTCATTCTTCTGCTTTGGTTCTGACTCCTAGGCCAAATTTGTTAACAACATTTGGTTCTGCTTTGTTTCCTCCTTTTTGGATTCCAATCATGTATAATTATAAGCATGTCTTATTCTGGTATGTGTGCAATCTTCTCTTGGATGCTAGTCACAGGAATCAGATAACCCTCCTATTACTGTAGCTACACTGCCTGCTAATTTGTTTCTGGACAAAATTCAAAGTGATGGTTTTAACCTAGAAAGCCCAAAATAGCCTGGGCCCAAGCTATCTCAAGGACTGCATCTCCCTTTATGAACCTGTGCTAAGATCCAGTGCTAAGATAACCAGGAGAGGCCTTTTTCTCTTTGTCCCGCCACCTTCACAGGTATGTTTGGTCAGTAAATGGGAGAGGGCCTTCTCTGTTGCTACTCTCAGACTCTGGAACTCCTTCCCATGAGAGGCTAGGCTGACTCCATCTTTACTGTCCTGCAAGCAGGCAAAGACTTTTTTCTTCAGGCAAGTTTTCCATTAATGACTGGCTGCTTCACTAGTGTTTTTAAATGGATTGTTGTACCTTACTGCTGTGAATATGTTTTGGTGTTGGTTATGTTTTTTAATATAGTATTCATTTGGTTCTTTTTAGTATTTGTATACTCAGTGTTGTTAACTTTAAATACTGTCTTTTAATTATATAAGCCATCTTGGGTCCTTTTTAAGGAAAAGATGGAATAAAAATATTTTAAAGAAAAATAAATAAATTCTGGAGAGCAGCCTACAGGATTGGGCTTTGAAAATTTCAAATATAATTAGAGCTACAGCCTAAACTGAACTAGCACCAGGTATCCATCCTACAAGGAATACAGCTCTACAATTTATTTCAACTTACTTAAAATACTTTTGCTCCACCTTTCCCCTTACAAAAGGACCCAAGGCAGCCTAAATAATTTAAAGACAATATTTAAGAACAAAACAATGAGAATACGAAGGTAACATATAACAAAAGACAATATTTAAGAACAAAACAATGAGAACACGAAGGTGACATATATCATTAAAAGGTAATATTTAAAGTTAAAAACACTAAGTATAGCTATATTAGAAAGAAATACCCATCTTAGAAATGGAAAACACAAGCATTACTAAAGACATTAGAAATGGAAAACACAAGCATTACTAAAAGCACAGTCAAAGCAGTAATGCCTAATAATCCATCTAAAAAGATCATCCTCAGGTTGCCAGTCATGAGGGAAAGCTTGCCTGAAGAGAAAGGTTTTCACTCCCCTGCAGAAGGACAACAAAGATGGGGCCAACCTAGCCTCCTGTGGTAGGGTGTTGGAGCAGCAACAGAGAAGGCCCTCCTCGTGTCCCCATCAAATGTCCCTGTGAAGGTGGTGGGACCAAGAGAAAGGCCTCCCCTGGTGATCTTAGTTCCCAAGCAGGGTCATAATGGGAGTTACAGTTTTTGAGAGGGGCCAGGAAACAGATCAACAGCCAGTGAAGCTCTTGCAACAGCAGGGTTAAGTCATCCCTGTAACCTGCCCCAGTCAACAATGTGGCTGCTGCATTTCGGACCTACTGAAGTTTCCTGACATTTTCCATAGGCAGCCCCACGTACGAGTACATTGCAGTAATCCAGTTGCCCCAGTCAACAATGTGGCTGCTGCATTTCGGACCTACTGAAGTTTCCTGACATTTTCCATAGGCAGCCCCATGTACATTGCATAATCCAGTCAGGATGTAATTAAGGCGTATGTCACCATGGCCAGATCTCTCAAGAAACGGCTGCAGCTGGTGCACTAGTTTTAATTGTGCATTCCTGGCCACCCCCGCAACCTAGGCATCCAGGCTCAGAGATGAATCCGGAGCACCCCCAAAGCTATGCACCTATGTTTTCAGAGGGAGTGTAAACCTGGAGTACCTCCATCTTGTCTAGATACACAGTTTCAGTTTATTTGTCCTCATCCAATCCATTACTGATGCCAAACACTTACGTCATACTCTTCCTGTCAAATTCACTGCTACTCCGTATTCTCTTCCAACAGATCAAAATAATCAGCTAGCACCTCTATCACAACTCTCAGTTTGAGGCAGATCAAATAATGTAAGGAACAGGATTTTAATGGACTTGTGTACTTCACTATAGTTAACTACCGTAGATACAACATGATACTGATGTATCCTAACAAATGGTGAGGAACATTGTCTAAAGAAGCAACCCTTGTTGTAAGACTGTTCTGCCAAATACAGTCATGCCCAGCTTAACGATTACCTGGCATAACGACGAATCCACTTCACAACAATGTTTTTGCGATCGCAATTGCGACTGCAAAATGATGTTTTAATGGAGTTTTTTTGCTTTGTGACGATTGGTTGATTACGATGATCAAAACAGCTGACCGTCGGGGTTTCAAAATGGCCACTGGCTGCTCAAAATGGCTCCCAGCTGTTTTTAGGAGCCATTTGTCGCTTAACAGGCACCTGAAAATGGCCACCGTATGGAGGCTCTTTGCTGGACGATTAGGTATTTCACCCATTGGAACGCATTAACCAGTTTTTAATGCATTTCAATGGGGTTTTTTATTTCGTTTAACAACGTTTTCGCTTTACAGCTATTTCACTGGAACGAATTAACGTCATCAAGCGAGGCACCACTGTACCCTGAAGCTAAACAGTCTATGAGTAAAATTATCCTCTGCTTCTTGCATAGTATGTTAGAGAGGGGAATTTTAAGGACTTCCTCCTTCCCATCCATAGATTTACAAGCAATGTATCACTATCTGCAGCAGAGCTTCTACTTTAACTGGTGCACCCATGCTTAATTCTAGTGTTCACTGGCATTTTTGCTCATCATATAAAGGAATATGTACTTTTATGAATATATTCAGCCAAGGAAAACATGCAGTGCTCTGTCTCTTTAAAGACACAGAGCCATGTGAACTTTGAGTACATCAGTGCTTCTGACTTGGATTCCCCTGCTTCTCTTTACTGAGGTACTGTAATGTTAGTGTTATAATATATGTCATAAATAAAGAAAACTGAATTATATTCATGAACAGCTGATGCTATTCTTCCCCATTCTTTCACTTCAGAAATGCTTTTACCTAATACTAGTAATGATGCACATTGCTGGAAAGAGAAATTAAAAACAAACCGTAGAGGGAAAGTTGCTTTGGTACCGGAGAGGGATTACTATAGCAAAACAGAGCATATTTTTCATTCTTAACTCTTGGCACAAAACATCCAGCTTGAAAGAGCTCCAATTTCTTCACAAATGTTTTAATGGCCTTGATCCAAAGAATGATGTGACTTGCCCTACATGTCCCAATGAGCAAGCTTTGAACATGTGTTTCTGAAACAGAGCACTCTGTGCTACAGGACAAACTTCATTTGAAACAGGGGAGCTTAAAAACAGTTTGTGATACAGCAGTACAGGATCTGTTGTTCTGTTACGGAAAAGTCAAGTATCTCATGAAACATTGCCAAGCTCTTTGCTAAAGTGAAAACAGAACTTCGGATCATAAGCTATTTTCTCAGATTAGTTAGCAAACATCCCTCAACCCTTCAAAGTGGTGCTTGTGAGCAAAGTCCCACTGAAAGTAAAGGTCAGAGGGTTAATTGAACCAAATGTTTTAAAATCTTTATAGTGGATAATTCACAAATAATTGTTGATGTTGGCTACCTGTCAGGGCAAGGACATGTTTTAAACTCCTTGTCTCAACATTTAAAACCTATTATTTAACAGTGCTGGTGGCATGGTATATTCCTCTTTAAGAGGACTTGGTCCATAACTTCCAGACTTCTGGTGGTTCCTTGGACTGAAGTGGCAAATTCCAGACTTCAGTCATTCTCCCATTTGGCTCCAAAACTGTGAACTTCCTCACCCTGCACCTCTGCATGGAACCAGAGTGTTGAAACAATATCGCCAGGAGGCTAGCTCCATTACAAATCTGGACAACAAGCAGGGACATCCAAAGTGTAACAGTCAGAGCACAGTCATCAGACCAAGATGCATCCATCCTCTCCCGGATTTAATAATTTTATCAGCAGAAGACAACAATAGTTTCAGTGGTGATGGGGTGGATAAATTTTACAAGGGTGAAATGGGAAATGGTGCTTCGACTTACAGAATTTTCAAGTTATGGCCACCGGTCCAATACGGATTAATTTTGTAAGTCAAGGCACCATTGTATGTCACTGAAAACCAAGACCACAATCATCCATATTGTGATAATCCCAGTTACCATTTATGGATAATAAAGTTGGATAATAATAAAAGCTAATGGAAAAAAACCCTGATTCTTCTGAAGTGTGGTACTGGAGCAGAGTTCTGCATAAAATTATCATAAAATGTCAGAAAGAGCAATAAATGTGTCCTAGATCAAAACAAGTCTGAACTCTTACTTGAAGCTCAAATGACTAAATGGAGGCTGTCGTACTTCAGCCATACCAGCCAGAATCCTACTGAGCTTGCACAGTGTAAATAAATAAATAAAAGAGCAATGCATAACTGTTGTATGCACCTGTTCTGGTTATCATACCAATGATCATATCTAGATCATGCATTTAGCTGCACACATGAACACACAATCAATGTGCAGAAAATTGCAGATACTGCTTGGGTAACTTCCCTTTGCATGCAGTATTTCTCACTAGGATTCTGGACACCATGAGAAGATAAGATTCATTGGAAAAAACAATCACTCTTGAATATCTAAAATCTTCCAGCAAATTTTCTGAATTCCTGACCAGACTGCTTGAGAGAGGTGAAAACGAAATATTCCTCTAGCCACTTCTAACTTTAATGAGTAATGGCAATACTCTCTTAAACCACAGTCTTTTGTGAAAGAGCAGGGACTGGCTTTTTTGCAGCTTCATTAAGTATATACTGTATATCGATCAGTACAGATCACAATGGTAGTTTTTTTATCATTGCCCCCAATCTGTCCAGTTTTTCCTGATGAAGGGGTGGAATGCAGCTTTCTGGGATACTCAGATTCAATAGGAAATTATTTGATGGGCTTGCATTGTCTGTTCTCTTAGACAACATGTACATGTGTAGTGGAAGCTAGATATATATTTCCTAGAATACAGTTCTGGGAAATGAATCTGAAATGCTAAAATGAAAGCAAATATGTACTCTTCTTCCACAGATAGACATGGGCTACCATTGGTAGTTCCAGCTGTTGAGGAACTACTATCAACATCCCTTACTATTGGGCAAGAAGGCGGGGCTAATGATAAATTGTGTTCAACAATATTTGAAGTTCCAAAGCTTCCCCAGTTCTACTTTATTTATTTGGGTACCATGATTGTTTTACAGTTCTCCTTTACCTTTACTCTACCTTTTGATAACATTTCATGCTATGTACCACACACTGCTTCTGGTCTTGTTTTTGCAGAGACCAAACAGCTTCTTCATCTTTTGTTTCCACATATAAAGCCTCTTTGATTTCTGCATCAGCCATCTGGTGAAGTCCATATGTAAAAATAGTCTGTTTGTTGCTTGAAGATTGACATGGAAACTTCAGATGGTACAAAATGCCGCGGCCAGAATTCTAACTGGGGTAAAGAGGCACCAACATATCTCCCCACGTTGGCCGCCTTCCATTGGTTGTCCATTTGTTTCCGCGTTGATTTCAAAGTTCTTACGATTACTTATAAAGCCCGAAATGGTTTAGGACCTCGATATCTGGCAGAGTGCCTTCTCCCACCCAGTTCTGTCAGAAACACTCGTTCTAGCCAGGTCGGGCAATTGAAGGGCCTAAAGCCGAGGGAGGCCTGGAAGGAAAGAACGAGGAACTGGGCCTTCTCGGCAGTGGCCCCTCACCTCTGGAACAACTTGCCTGTAGAGATCTGCCTGCTCCCTCTCTGGGTATCTTTAGAAGTAAACTTAAGACATGGCTATTTATGCAGGCTTTCCCTCCTGCTGTATTTTAATATTTACATTTTTACATCTTGGATTTTTGCATGTTCATTGGTTATATGGTTTTTAAATTTTGTAATGCCGCCCAGAGTAGACTATCTGTCTAGATGGGCTGGGTATAAATCTAATAAATAAAAGCATGTGTTTGTAACTGGCAGAGAGCTATTTGCTGCTGAGTTGGGATTCACTATATTTTTTGCCCAACTTTGATTCTGCTTTAACAAGAGGCCTTTGTGCACTCTGTGTAGTATATTCAGCTAACATCTCTGCTCCTAAATGGCTCCATATTGCATGTTACTCCTGTGTGGAATATGAGCAACTTGTTGCTGCGACCCTTGAGGGGGTGTGGATGACAGCATTACTAAATGGGACATTTTCTTTGCTTTCCAAAATCTTAAGAATGTTACATTTTTTTCAGAGGAACTTACCTCCGGCAGCACTGCCTTCTCTGCGGGCACGAGCACTACCATCTCTGCCAGACTTGACACGCTGAACAGTAGCGAATGAAAAATACAAAAGTGTTGTTTAATACAATTTGCTATAATTTCCTATAGCATTGTTCACATATAGAGACTCATCTCACAGTTCTGTGGAAAGTAAGGCTACCTGGCAAGCTATATTTCTTGCATTTATATTTTCCCTCTAAGGAGCTCAGGAAGGTAAATATCATCCTTCCCTCCCTCCCTCGTTTTATACAACAGGAAGTCTGTAAGGTAGAATACATTCAAAGAAAGTAATTAGTCCATAGTCACTTGGTGAAGTTCATGCCTGATTAGAAATTTTAATCCGGAACTCAAGCTCCTAGTCAAATACTCTGACAACTGCACCAAACTGCTTATATAAACAAAATCTATTCACAAATGTAGGTTATCACTGGACTTTGCTGTCACTGTATGAACATGCATATATGAATCACCTTATTTTCCAAGTATACCTGAGAATCATTGTAATTCCACTTCTATATACAAAACTGCTAAAATGTAAAAAATACCATTTACTTCTCCAAGTAATGAAAATAGCATTAAAAGTGACTTTACATGTTGTCACTGTATGGCATAATTTAAAATATGGTGTTAAAAGTTGCACATAATAAAAACCTCAAATCTAACACAATGCTGTCATAGACTTGGAAAGTTCAGCAGAGGGATTCCAAGAAAATGTGTACTCTTTTATAGCAGATTCATATACGACACATCTTACATTAAAAGTAAAAACATTCAGCTGAAAAAATAATAAAAGTGCTCCTCCATAATGCTTCAAAGAATGTCTTAAAAACTTGTAATCCTAAACTGTTTTACTACCGTAAACATTCAAACAGTTATAAGGAATGCATGAAAAGAAATTGCTACCCTGCAGGTTCTATGTTTCTTGGCAGGAAGCGAAAAAGCTTTAATTAATTTGCTGCAATCAGTAAATTCAAAAATAAAAACTATTAATTTATAAGTTATTTGGAAAGTATCATTTCTTCAAGTGAGGGACACATTAAAATTTTTCCAACTGAATTACTTTTATAATTACTAATCTGTATGTTGTGGATGATTGGGATTTCTACATTAGGTTTTTTGGCAGATCCACACAAACATGTGTGAAACACAGATCCTTTATTTTCAAGTTTAAAAAAAACCCACACTGAGTCCCATACACAGTTTGCAAACAATAAAAAAAATGTGCGAGTAATGTGTGTGATTCAACTCACGGAGTGTGCATACCAACAATGCTATTTTCTTTGCTATTTAATACTGTATAAGTATTAAGACTCCAAAGTCAGGAGGATGCAGTTATTGTTAAAAACAGGTGAAGTAAGTTCCTTTGGCCATAAAGGTCTAAGGGATTTGAACTTGTAGACAGATGGAAATGCCTTTAACTAACAGTATAAACTAGAGATGGGGATATTCGTACTGTATTCGTAAATGGAAATACATCGTCTGTGCACCTGCAGCTTTTGTAGTTATGTTTATACTAGAGATGGGGATATTCATATGATATACCAGATGGGCGGGATATAAATCAAATAAATAAAAAAAATCATATTTGTAAATGAATACAAATACTGTATCCACATTCCAGGTGCACCTAATGTGGGTGTGGCCACTCAGCAACCATGCAGGGAGACCTGTCCTCCCTCCCCCTGCCTGGAATGACCAGCCAAGCCAGGAGACAGTGGAGACTACTTCCACGATTGGTGGGAATAGTGGGAGGCTGGTGATGCATGAGTGGATGGGCTGGTTTCGAGGGCCAGACTCACATTTGGCGCACCTGGGACAAATATCCCCATCTCTAGTAGGTGAAATGGGAAATGGTGCTTCGACTTACAGAATTTTCAAGTTATGACCACCGGTCCAATACGGATTAATTTTGTAAGTCAAGGCACCATTGTATGTCACTGAAAACCAAGACCACAATCATCCATATTGTGATAATCCCAGTTACCATTTATGGATAATAAAGTTGGATAATAATAAAAGCTAATGGAAAAAAAACCCTGATTCTTCTGAAGTGTGGTACTGGAGGAGAGTTCTGCATAAAATTATCATAAAATGTCAGAAAGAGCAATAAATGTGTTCTAGATCAAATCAAGCCTGAACTCTTACTTGAAGCTCAAATGACTAAATGGAGGCTGTCGTACTTCAGCCATACCAGCCAGAATCCTACTGAGCCTGTACAGTGTACATAAATAAATAAATAAATAAGCAATGTTGTATGCACCTGTTCTGGTTATCATACCAATGATCATATCTAGATCATGCATTTAGCTGCACACATGAACACACAATCAATGTGCAGAAAACTGCAGAGGAACTTACCTCCGGAAGCACTGCCTTCTCTGCGGGCACGAGCACTACCATCTCTGCCAGACTTGACACGCTGAACAGTAGCGAATGAAAAATACAAAAGTGTTGTTTAATACAATTTGCTATAATTTCCTATAGCATTGTTCACATATAGAGACTCATCTCACAGTTCTGTGGAAAGTAAGGCTACCTGGCAAGCTATATTTCTTGCATTTATATTTTCCCTCTAAGGAGCTCAGGAAGGTAAATATCATCCTTCCCTCCCTCCCTCGTTTTATACAACAGGAAGTCTGTAAGGTAGAATACATTCAAAGAAAGTAATTAGTCCATAGTCACTTGGTGAAGTTCATGCCTGATTAGAAATTTTAATCCGGAACTCAAGCTCCTAGTCAAATACTCTGACAACTGCACCAAACTGCTTATATAAACAAAATCTATTCACAAATGTAGGTTATCACTGGACTTTGCTGTCACTGTATGAACATGCATATATGAACCACCTTATTTTCCAAGTATACCTGAGAATCATTGTAATTCCACTTCTATATACAAAACTGCTAAAATGTAAAAAATACCATTTACTTCTCCAAGTAATGAAAATAGCATTAAAAGTGACTTTACATGTTGTCACTGTATGGCATAATTTAAAATATGGTGTTAAAAGTTGCACATAATAAAAACCTCAAATCTAACACAATGCTGTCATAGACTTGGAAAGTTCAGCAGAGGGATTCCAAGAAAATGTGTACTCTTTTATAGCAGATTCATATACGACACATCTTACATTAAAAGTAAAAACATTCAGCTGAAAAAATAATAAAAGTGCTCCTCCATAATGCTTCAAAGAATGTCTTAAAAACTTGTAATCCTAAACTGTTTTACTACCGTAAACATTCAAACAGTTATAAGGAATGCATGAAAAGAAATTGCTACCCTGCAGGTTCTATGTTTCTTGGCAGGAAGCGAAAAAGCTTTAATTAATTTGCTGCAATCAGTAAATTCAAAAATAAAAACTATTAATTTATAAGTTATTTGGAAAGTATCATTTCTTCAAGTGAGGGACACATTAAAATTTTTCCAACTGAATTACTTTTATAATTACTAATCTGTATGTTGTGGATGATTGGGATTTCTACATTAGGTTTTTTGGCAGATCCACACAAACATGTGTGAAACACAGATCCTTTATTTTCAAGTTTAAAAAAAAACCCACACTGAGTCCCATGCACAGTTTGCAAACAATAAAAAAAATGTGCGAGTAATGTGTGTGATTCAACTCACGGAGTGTGCATACCAACAATGCTATTTTCTTTGCTATTTAATACTGTATAAGTATTAAGACTCCAAAGTCAGGAGGATGCAGTTATTGTTAAAAACAGGTGAAGTAAGTTCCTTTGGCCATAAAGGTCTAAGGGCTTTGAACTTGTAGACAGATGGAAATGCCTTTAACTAACAGTATAAACTAGAGATGGGGATATTCGTACTGTATTCGTAAATGGAAATACATCGTCTGTGCACCTGCAGCTTTTGTAGTTATGTTTATACTAGAGATGGGGATATTCATATGATATACCAGATGGGCGGGATATAAATCAAATAAATAAAAAAAATCATATTTGTAAATGAATACAAATACTGTATCCACATTCCAGGTGCACCTAATGTGGGTGTGGCCACTCAGCAACCATGCAGGGAGACCTGTCATCCCTCCCCCTGCCTGGAATGACCAGCCAAGCCAGGAGACAGTGGAGACTACTTCCACGATTGGTGGGAATAGTGGGAGGCTGGTGATGCATGAGTGGATGGGCTGGTTTCGAGGGCCAGACTCACATTTGGCGCACCTGGGACAAATATCCCCATCTCTAGTACAAACATTAGTACAAAATCTGCAAGTGCACAGATGATATATTTCCATGTCACACTAAAATAATTATACTGCACCAATTATTGTGAATGGATAACCCAGGCCTGCCTAGAAAGACACAGGTATCTTTGTGATGTACTGCAAACTACAGTCCACCACAAAGCTGCTGCTTAATCTTTCCCAGTAATGTCAGTCTTATCAAGAGTTAGTACGTTCCTGTTAAAGGAGGTTGCAAACTGGTATGGAGAACATGGGGCCCTTTAAGCAGCATGCTGCTACCTCCTCAGTTTCTGTGGGCCTGTCAGTCTCCAACTATTGGATTTTTGCCTTTCAAAATGTTGCTGGAAATCTCCTTACATGTCAAATCTCTGCTGAAACAAACTGAGGGCCTGCTGTAGGGAAAATTGTCTTTCTGTAATATTTTCTTTAAAAAAAACCTCTGGAATTTCTGATCACTTTTCAGCTAAAATGAAAACAACATAATGGGCTTTTTCAAATATTAAAATACTGGAATCTGTCAACATGAATTTTTAACCAGAGCACTAGGGTACCAAAATCTACTTCCATGGCCACAGTTCACTCTGAGATATCATGCTATTCGGTGGGCACCCCTGCTAAGAAAGTTGTTCTGGCTCAAGATAGTGTACCATATGGCCTCACTGCTGGTTTCATTGGCCTATGAAGAAATGGGAAGGGACTCATGGACAGCGAAGATATCCACAATTATATAGAAGCAGAGTTACTCCTCAGCCCGTCCCAACAGGAGGGGATGTGAGGTTACCCTAGAATATGTCATTAAAAGATTATATGATGTTGATATCTAGACTACCATGGCATCTGTAGTTAGCTGCCTTCTTAGGCATCCTTCAGTCTCAAGAGACTATGGTAATGTGCTCTGAGCTGGAGTGTCCTCTCCAGAGCACGAAGCCTGGATAAAATCATATGGCGGATAGGCTGTGACCCAAGCAGCAAATCTCCACTCTCCACATTGCTGAAATAGTCCAATGGAAAGGCAAGAGCCAATACAACTGGTTCCAGCGACGTCGCAGGAGTTGACAGAACTACACGAACTGCCTCTGGGACTCCGGCTCCAGATTTTGCCTCGAGGTTAACTCCTGAAGCCTTTTCCATCAGTGGATACAGCCACAAGGCAGTGGAGGTTTGAAATCAGAGTCTTCCTTCTCTTAGATGGGCTGCCTTCCAAGGCTGACGAGCCCCACCTACCTGGGGCTGCCACTCCAATAGGATATACAAAGACTTTTACTTCCCTTTTAGAAAGGTGTCCCCATACTGGTCCTTTATTAGCCCACATGAGCTGACATAACTGTTAACTAAATGCAGACTGAACTCTTTGCAGTTTAAAGAGATTCAGGGACATTATACAGATCAACATGGTATAGGCAGATATTGCCCAGCAGGATACTCTAAGATGGAGGACATGGTGCATTTCATAGCAGAATACTCTCTATATGCAGAGAGGAATATTCAGGGATCAATATCTTCAGCCCTTAACTGGGATCAAAGAACAATTTCCCTTTATGTACTGTTTTATTTCTGCAAGCTGGCTAAATTCATTAAAAGAGGCATGGAAAGATGGAACTTATTACCTGATTCACAATCTTTTCAAGTTAATTTCACAACTTGATACTTGATTGAGAATGCTTATTTTATTATCTCATTTTATGCTTTTCTGATTATTCATATGTATTTTGATTAGATACCAAATACTATATTTTAAGAGTTGTCTAATTTCTGTTTATATGTACAGCCTGCTACAAAGCAATAAAGTATTCAAATTTGTATTTGAAAACAACATATTTTGGTTAGGACAGTAGCCCATGGTAGGTCATAGGATGCAGGTGAAACTGGTGTCTGGACCTACAATAATTCCCATCCTTACACTGCAAAGTGTCTTGTCTTGATTTGTTTTCTGAGTGGCCCTATGATAATAGAAAGGGGGAAAAGTCAATGCAGGTTTTTGTATTAGTTTTCCATTTATAGATGCATGCATGTGTGAATGCACAACAACAGTTCAGCATATGGCTTCAGATGGAAGAGCTTAATTAGGAAGCCTATAGGGCCTTGAGGAACTAAATTACCTAAAACCCGACATCACATGGGGCATCAGCAGCAGTTCTTTGGGAATCTTTTTTTAAAAAATGTTTTTCATTGGATAAACCAACCCAGCATACCTGTTCTCTCATTTCTTTCAATTTTTCCACTCTCTTAAGTTTTGTTGCATATTCTTGGGTTTCTTTCAGTCCCATGTCTGTGCAGAGTCGGACCAAAAAGCGTAAACCTGGTGGTATAATAGCCATAACATTAATGACCGTTAATACTTAAAAGCAGCTGCAAAAATAAGCAGAACACACTGCCTAGCAACAATGGCCACAATCCAACACACAGTTAAGTGCACTTAAGCCCAGTGATTTCAGTGCAGAATTCTAATCAATGTATTTATGGTGTGACAATATGATTTAGTAGACATTACAACAATTGAATAAAAACAGCTAATTTTCTTCTCCAATGTCCAGCAATTAAGCCATGAAAAAGAAAGAAAAGTAAATGAATGAATGACAGAGTTCTGACTCCTGTCTTCTGAAGATGCCGGCCACAGAGACTGGCAAAACATTAGGAAGAAAAACCTTAAGAACATGGCCAAACAGCCCGGAAAACCCACAACAAGCATAAAAGAATGAATATTGTGTGGGATTTTATTAAAAATACTTTCCTGTATGAGGATATAATCAGTCACAGGCCATACACTGACACTGGTGCAGGGGTATACTGGTGAGCAACTAGAAGTCAAAACTAAAAACCTAAATGCAAGACATCTAACATGTTAAAAAGTTATTTTTAAATTTATTAGATAATGTTAATAAAAAAAATTTAAAATGGCAGTTTCCAGAGAGGTAGCCATATTAGTCTACTGTGGCAAAAATAGCCTTGCAACACCTTGTAGACTAATAAAATTATTATGGCATAGGTTTTCGCAAACTACAGCCCACATCATCAGAGGTAATAAATCAAGACCTGGGGAGCAGGCATTGGACAGAATCTTGCCTGCAAGTTTTCCTTATGTGCCTTGTCATAAAAGGACTAAACACTCACTCTCTTTTTGCATGAAAGCTGAAAATTTAGAAAGGCAGCGTATCAAATTCAGGGAATGTTCACATGGGAATGAATGTTCTGCTTCTTCCATTGAAAAGAAGTGGAGAGAATAGAGAACTCACATAGGGCTCCAGATGATTGTGATAAGTTTACTCCGAACAGCAACAGAAGCAGCATAGAACAGTCATAGATTGGGTTATAATAAACTGCTAAACAGAACAGCAAGGGCTCATAACTTATTGTACCTAACACAAAAGGTGAGTCACCTATAAAGGCACAGTATGGCACCTATAAATCTGCACAGTACAATATCACTTACATTCAGCATTGTCTGGAAACTTTCTGTGAATCATCTTGTATGTATCCAGTGCTTTCTGGTAGTTCCCTGTTTGCCAAATGAACATGAAACACACATAAGCAACCCTTCTTCAGAACCTGAGGTATCTCAACTTTCACTAGTTTTGGGAGGCCAAGTGATTTACATCATAGCAACAGAGGGCTTAACTCTTTCCCCTTATACTACTTTCTCAGCATAAAATCCTCCTCTCCTCAACCCACCCAAAAGTGTTATTAGCTGCTGAGTTGGGGTTGATCAGCATGTACTCTTCCCTCCTCTGCAGCTAACAGCTCCAAACACCATTTATATTAGGAAGTGTGATGGGTTGAGGTTAAACAACTCTCCCCAGCTACCAATCCTGTTCTCATCGATATCATAGCTGCTTTTAACAAAAGAAAAAGATACTAAAGGATCAAAACTTTTGGTTCCCTTATCACATCTAGTTAGACCCTTTTGGGAAGTCAAGGAATAAAAAAAAATTACTGAGTGTCAACGGTTTGATTACAGCAGAGATAAACAACCTCCAGAGGCCTGAGGGCTTAATAGCCATATGGATCTGAAGAAAGCTGCACCATCTCTAAAATATTTTAACAACATTTTAAATGATATATTTGGTGACAGCTATAGTTTTTTTTTAATTGGGGGTTTGGAGGGACAGGGTTGGGGGTCCCTTCAAAGGTTGGCAAAATTACCCTCTAGAAGGCACAAAGTGACCTTTTAAGTCTAAAAAGCTGTCTTGTAACTCTAATGAGAAAAATAGTTTTGTGGGTTTTTTAAAACATGGGCATGTTTGCTGGGTCCCCACAAAAATTGCAAAATTGCTCCCATGCCCCTTAGAAGGCACAAAGTGACTTTCAGAGTAAAATCCACAGCCAGTCAAGAAAAAAATGAAACATTTTATGGGGCACAGGGATGCTAGGGGCACATTTGGGTCCTGCAGGGGGATCACACTTTGCTCATCCCAGTTTACAAAATGGGGAACCACAAATCTATGTCCCATAAATTGACTCCTGATGCCTTAAACAGCAGCCTCCATCTTGAGATTTTACGGTGGAGAACCTGAAGCTCCAACATTTGGCCAAGCTGATTTTTGGACTTGCACTGTAGGCCTTCAAATTCACCTATTTTTGATATTTGAATGGTCTGACAAAAATATTACTACCTTCCCCCCTCCCAATTTTGTAGAAGCACCACATGGCTTTTTTTCCTGCTTTTTAAAAGTAAACTCTGATTGTCACATTTCCCATTACTATTTAGCAATGTCTAATGTCCTTTTGTTCAACTTTTCACACAAGTAAAATGATGCCATTATCCAACAAGGGTTTTATTTATGCTCTTTATATATGTTTATTTTTATCACTTGTGTATTGTTAGCCGCCTAGAGTGGTCAACTTTTCACACAAGTAAAATGATGCCATTATCCGACAAGGGTGCTATTGAATTCAATTTAACTTAAGCTAATTTATTGAAAGCTTCCTATCCCCCCTCTCAGGTCCTGAGGCTCCCTTGGGCTCTCTTTCAACCCAAGGAAGCCTTTGGGACCCTCAGGATGAGACTTTAATATCTAAAAATTGTTGCCAGATTGCTGTCACTAAGATTGGTGACACTGGCAGCAATCTAGCAGTAATCTTTGGATACTAAAGGCTCCCCCCACATCCCAAGGGTACAAAAGGTTTCCTCAAATTGAAAGGGACCCCGAGGGAGCCTCAGAACATGAAGCAAGGGATAGGTAGCTTTCAAATAAATTAAATAAAATATTACCATTGTATAATGTTGACATCTTCCTATTTGTACAGAATAAAATTACATAAACAGGATTTCAGCCAATAAAAATCAGTAGTAAAACATTAATTATAGTGAAAGACCACTGGTATTCTGACAAAATATCCTTGAAAGTATAACACAGAAAGACCAGCACCTGTGCTCTGAAAGACATGTGGCAAATGAGATCAACTGAATAATCTATTCTATAAATAACCAAAACATAATAGCAGTTAACATCTGAATGTAAATTAAAAGTATGTAATGAAACTGGGCTGCAATCCTATACACATTCATCTGAGAATAAGTCCCTCTGAAAATATGCATTGGATCATTATGTCAAACTTTTAGACAGAATAACTAGGAATGACACATATTACAAAATAAAACTCCTGATCTAATTTGTTTATTAAAGAGAAAGAGACTAACAATCAAAACCAGCAGGTGAAATGAAAGGAGGCTTACCGCTTCTTCTGTAACAACTAGCAACCATCAATTGCCATTTCACTTGAGTTGGTCTGCAAATAAATATGTTATAATACGATAAATCTTAAACTACTTCCTCTAGATTTCAAAGATATGAAGAACATCCACCACCCAATGAACTGTATCCCAAATTAATTCTTTCTCGGATATGGAGATAATGTTTTTAAATTATGAGGATGAAATAAATTGTACATCGAGTTTAAGTATTTACAACAGCTTTTAATCTGGCACAAATACTATTAAAATTGTACAGCATGCTTGGTGGACAAACCCAACATTCTTTTACATCAGTTAAGTGTTTTCTGGTACCAATTATATCAGCTGGAGAGTATTAAGCACATATTGAGAAATTTAAAAGAGGCAAGCGATCTGTCATATACTGGGATCATTCTCTAATCTTTTCCTGAATTCTATTCACTGACCTGGAGAGACTTCTTAGGATTTTACATGGGGAGTGTCTCTTCGTCCTACCTGATGATTCCAGGAGTGGAACCTAGGAACTTTTGCATGTAAAGATGCTCTCTCCCTGAACTATCCTTTCACTTTTTTACTGGAATGGAAATGTGGTACTCAAGCTCTATGTTGCATGAGGTGGTAGAAAAATGTACTGCCGCCTACCACTCTTTCTTGAGTGCAGAAGCACAGTCAATCTACTCCACTCTATTAGAATGGCAGGCTGCTTTCTGCAGGACGAGGAAGCGGCCAATGCTGCCACACAGACCCTTGCCAATGAAGGTGGGGGCAGCAATGATGGTGACACTCCTCTACCATAGGAGAAAGAGGAGAAGGATGAAGAGAAGACAACCATCTAGAATTTCCCAGTGTACCCATCCCACTGGGCCACGGCTCCAAGAAGATGCTGGAGTTCAGGCTAAAGTAATAGCCAGCGGTAGAACTGTATGTAACAACAGCAAATCTTCAATGAAAGAAAGGGTCTCCTTAGGTAGACGGCTGAAGCTGTTGAATTTGCTCCCACCACAACCTCTGTCACCTGAGGTGATTGCCTCACCCTCGCTTTACTTTGTGTCTCACAGTAGGACTGGTCCTGCAAGGGACATGATCTTAATTCTGGCAATAGTTTAATTTTACATAGCCTCCATTATGGCACTGCACAATCTACCTATTCAAGTTTATAATATCTGAAATCAGATATATCTTAAAATACTAAAATTTATTGGAAAATACTTGCATATTCAAAATAATAGAATGACTGCCGCTCAAATGAAACAAAATTAAAAACGTATCAAGAATTAAGATAAGATAGTATTTGTTGAAAATCAGTAGGATTCCTTTTTATGCATTCTATGAATAATAATACATAAATCTGCATACAGAAATTAAATATTTAGTAACCACTACAATTCCAAGAAGCAAGATATTTTATATTAACACATCTCATTCAGGAAAAGATTATATCAATATGTAAATAAACAAAGACACTTGTAGGTTTATTTGCTACACTGGGTCCCAAATATCATGGAATCTGTGCTAGAAAAAAGTATTTCAATACTCAGTTGAATATGCCAAAGTTCACTCTATTGTCTCATGCATTTTCCAATGGGCAAAGTGTGCCAGGGTAAATAATACAATAACAAGACTGCATTTTACACTTCGGATGTGGTCAGCAAAACTTGTGAGTTGTTGCTTTAAAAATATTTTCATTGGTCTGTATCCATTTAAAAACTAATCACTTCCCTGGAGCAAATGAAGCCAAAGAATTTGGGCACTTCCTGGAAAATGACGGAGGTGAGAAGCTGCCTGGTCTTAAGTGCCAAGAAATCAAGGAAAATAGATGCTATGTGAGGTATTATAAAACTCACATTAGTTTTATCATAAGACAAAGTAGCACAGGCCTGCTGCATCTGTTTCTGCAAAGTACCAAGGACATAAACTGTAGCATTTAACTGGAAGGAGGAGCCCTCAGTCCCAAACCTCTCTCTTCACTGGTTGTTTTTATGTTTTCTCTTAGTGTAGTGGAAAGGTGGAGCAGAAATGTAACAAACAACAACAGAAGAAATGGCTGTCACCTAGGTGCACAGAATCTCTTAAGAATCTTATTACTAATAATTATGTGTCATTAAGTAATTTCTGACTTATGCTGACCTTTCCCGGGACTTCTTAGGTATAGATTACTTAGGTATGGTTTAGCATTTCTTTCTTCTGGGGAGGCCCTGGGACTGTACTGCTTGCCCAAAGCCACACAAGGTTGCCATTCTCCTGGAAGGCATAGTGAGGAATTTAACTCCCTAACCTTGGCTCCAACTCACCAAGCTATACATCCTGCTCTTAAGAGTCTTCAGACAGAGTTATTTAGACAACAAATTTCCAACAAAAAACCAAGATGGTGATTGCTGTCCACTTATCTGAAGGTGAATATATAAAAGTATATTTCTCTTATATGGAACACATGGAGAGAGAGGCAGTTGAACTAATCTGGAAATGTGACGAACTTGGGATTTATATTTAAGGGAAGCATAAAGTTGGAACCTCACATGTGTTATAATAGGTAAAGGTTCCCCTTGACATTTTTTAGTCAGTCGTGTTCGACTCTAGGGGGCGGTGCTCATCCCCGTTTCCAAGCCGTAGAGCCAGCGTTTGTCCGAAGACAGTTTCAGTTGTCACGTGGCCAGTGCGACTTAGACCCGGAACGCTGTTTACCTTCCCATCAAGATGCTACCTATTTATCTACTCACATTTACATGCTTTCGAACTGCTAGCCTGGCGAGGAGCTGGGACAAAGCGACGGGAGCTCACTCCGTCGCGTGGATTCGATCTTACGACTGCTGGTCTTCTGACTCTGCAGCACACAAAGGCTTCTGCAGTTTAGCCCGCAGCGCCACCACGTCCCCCGCAGTGCCACCATGTCCTAATAGGGTTCCCCAATTGGTCTGCATTGACATGAGGCAGAAGACAATGCCTTTGGAAAATTTCAGGGTACCCCAAAATGTTTGATTTGCAATCGTATTTTATTTCTGCTGGTTTTGCTGCAAGGCCCATAAAACAGCAGTAGTGCTCCTGTAATCAACGTATTTCCCTCAGCACCTCTTGACTCACCCCGTAAGACCACCCATCCCAAGATATTGCTTTATACTGTATTGTATTGCCATTGTGCCAACATACTTTGGAGATCATCTGACTTAAATGGTGGGATGAATGGCTAAGTCTAGTTCTTGTATCAGCTACAGGAAAACCACCAAAATGGGCAGGACTTGTTAATCAATAGTAATATAATTTCAATGGGTTTATTCTAGTTGAAACTAAATTGGATTTAGTACTATTGCTTCATGTAGTAAATTTTAACTAGACTAGGGCCATTGAATAAATGGATCTCATGGACTTTTTGACTTACTAAATCTGCAGTGATTCAATGGTCTGCTGTAGTTGTAACTTACTGCACTAGGCATCAAGATTTGAGCCAATTTCTTAAAAAAGAAATGCTTAAGACAACAAATTACCCACACAAAAAACTTAAACAAACCAAAACTACCTGGATCTTCTGATTACTTGCTATTGATTAACAAATATTCTAGACCTGATTAGATGCCATTGCTCGCTGTCAATTTTTTACCTAAGCTCACATCTCAGGATTGCCTCTTTAAATTTTCCAAACAAATAAAACACATACACTTCTGTTTGGGTGTTATTTGTTCCATTAACATAACTCAATTTACTCCTCTTATGCCCAAGTTAATTATATTGCCAAAAGTTCCCCCAAGAATGATACTGCTCTAAATAGAGAACAATTACAATTACTTACTGAATAAGTGCTGCTCTTTCAAAGTAGTGAATAGCTTTTTCACAAAATTGTGTGTCAATGTAATAGGCTCCAAGCCATTCAATGACCTCAATGTTTGAAGGGAAATACCGGTAGGACTGACAAAATAAAGAATATGAATGAAACACAACATTAGTGATAAACAACATCTTTATTTTCCTTCTGGAATATCTTACTCATTTGTGTGTTTAATTCTCCAGATGCTGAAAATATGTAATACATGAATGAGCGCAGTGTGCTGATACCCTAACTAATCCCTAAAGAGAGTGTGGCATGTTTTACCATTAACAGAAAACGCTTGAGAAGAATTTGCTGAGACGAGGGCCATATTTTCCATACATACAATTTTCAAATGTTTGAATGTGGTGAAACGAAGTAATACTTCACAAAAATCAGTTCATTACATCAGACATTGATTTTGCTCAAAATAAGATATTGCCATTTTCTGAAAGATATATTTGGGATATGTTTCCTATCACTCTGTTAAAAGAAATATATTTTGTACTTTGGAAGGAAACATTAAATAGTTTAAACACTATTATTTAGTTGCTTGGAGTTTTAAAAAATGCCTTTATATACTGCCCCATCACCTGCACGTTTACTCAGAAATAAATGATTTTCAATGGGGCTTAGTTCTAATGAGAGTGTTTAAGATTAGAGCCCATTAAAATGTAAAATATCAGGTTAAATTCATTCAATTTCTGCGGAACATATATGAAAAAAGAGGGTAGCACCCCCCACCTCTTGTGTAAAAACAACTGGACACTCATAGCTCTTGTCAGAGGAGGAATAAAATGAGAATGGTAAATGCAAGAGCCACTAAAAACCAAACCAAACCAAAAACATTTCTATAGAGATGCCAGAACTAAAAGCAAAGTAAAAAATGGAAGGTTACTTATTAGTCTCAACTGAAAGTACATAAATTGTAAAAATTATTTGTTTTGTACTGAACATTCAAGAAAACAAAAGAATTATAGGCCTGAGTTTAAAAGCACAAATTGAGAATGGTAGTGGATGCAAATTTTAAAGCAATGAACATTGACAGAGGCATTTGTTTCTGCCCAAACGTAAATTGCATAAGATCTCCAGAGTGCGGAAGCAATTGAAACTCAGAAATAATTCATTCCTTTGGGATAGTGAGTAGTGCAACCAGCAATTTCAGTTATCGTGAAAATAATATGACAAGTAGGTCCAAGATACTTTTTAGTTACAGTGGTGCGTCGCATTACGAGCGCTCCGTTTGACAATGAAATCGCATCACGACGATTTTGCGATCGCAAAAGTGATCGCAAAACAATGTTCCCTATGGGGGAATTTCACTTTGCAATGATCGGTCCCCTATTTTGCTAACCAATTATCGCAAAGTGATGATTTTCGGCCAGCTGATCAGCGGTTTCAAAATGGCCATCGGGTGAAAAACATGGCCGCCCGCTGTTTTCTGGCACAGATTCCTCGCTGCACAGGCAGCGAAAATGGCCGCGCTATGGAGAATCTTCGATGGACTGTGAGTTTTAAGCCACTAGGAACGCATTAATTGGGTTTTAATGCGTTTCTATGGGCTTTTTAAAATCACATGACGTTTTCGTTCGACTGCGATTTTTTCGGAACGAATTAATGTTATCATGCGAGGCACCACTGTAAAATGAATAACATTCTCTAGTTATTTCTTAAAGTTAGTTTAAAAGAGCATTTAAGACTTTTGAGGGCATTTTTGACTGGTATTTTTCAAGTTTTATGTCTTATCAGTCATAAGCAGCAAGAGAATATTATTTACCCATTCCTTTTTTCTTTTTGTATTTCTAACTGAGCCTACTGTAAGTGAGACTTATTATACAAAGTAAATCACAGTCAGAGTAGACCCATTTGAATTAATTGAATTTATTAAAGGAGTTCACTCATCAAATTCCCATTGATTTAGTGGTTCTCCTCTAGTGCAATTTACTACATTAAGCAACAGGATTTTGGCTTATTAAATTATAAAGCTATTTGATAAAATAATATTGCTATTAACTGATAAAAATATTCACTTTATACTGTTGTCTTCATTTATACAAATATGTAATGAACTTAAGTTTATCAAGAATCCTCCCAAATACTGGCATCGAAACATCAATTTAAAACATGCTTTCCTTTGTATTGTGTAACCCTAGGAAATGCATGTGGAATTATGTGAAAAAACACATACCTCGTAGTAGTACTGAAAAGCTTGTGATTTATCTCCTTCATTATCATAGAGTTCTCCAAGCTTTGCTAATGCATGTGAGTCTGTTGGAATAACACTGATGAGTTGCATAAGCCACTCAATGGCTTGATTGAGATCCTCCATCAATTCATATCTGAAGCACTGTCAGTTAAGAAACTTCTTATTCTATTTTATGTGGCACATGGTAACCCGATATACAATTTTTACATGAATATCTACTGTATTATAATAGATCTATACAGAGCTTGTAAAACAGAAGTTACATGTCTGTCAGAGATGTTTTAATTGTGGGTTTCTTGCAGACTGGATTAGATGAGCCCAGTTCTACACTTTGGTGATCCTACAATTTGACATTTGAAATGTTTAATTCTATACTTGTTGGAAAAAAGATACATGCTTGCAATTTGGAAGAGAACTTGGGCACTGTTTCGGAGGATAGCGTGTAGCTTCAAAAAACAATCTAATGCCTCATCTAACCTGTTCAGCTTTTTATATGCTAAACCTGAAAAGAAAAATAAGAGAGAAAAAGGTAATTAAAATGGAAAGTGTCACCAAAATTACTAGATAGAGAAGCTGACATTGTTGCTTGGATCCTTTGCAAGAAAGGTGGTATAAAATATTTTAAATAAATAATAAATATAAATAATAAGGCAAACAGAAATAAACTAGCTGGCATCATCCCCAAAAAAGGGATAATTCTAGAATGAAACCAAACAATAATTGACAATCATATCAAAATTCAACTGAATATCTAAGTATAAGTCTTTTCACTGTTGCAATAATTCCAGGGAATAGCACCTTGTTTAATTCTACAAGCTTTTTTCCTCTACATTGCTTCTATGTTCCATTAACACAAAATATTTGATAACTGTTGTTAAAATACATAGGTCTTACCACTATGTAAAAACTATAAACGCATATGCTTAAACAGAAATCCTTCCAAAATACAGGACATATATTTTATGAGTAAAAAAGAACAATGAGGATGTTTCAATTATATTCTAAACATGAAAGAGATTATAGCCTAAAAGAGCACCTTAAAAAAGACAGTATTTCTCTGAAACACATCATTAAAAAGTAAAAAACATTGTAACTTTAAGTAATCTTAAGATTCTAAGCATATTAGATATGCATACAGAAAAATAGCTTCAAGAGCACACCCAGCCAAGCCAGCCTTCTGCCAGTCTGCATCTATGAAGGAAAATCTATGGTGATAATTGTTACTGCTGTGCAGCTACATGATGGATAGTATACAGTATGTGTGGTGTGGAAGCCTTGTTATTTATTTATTTACAAGATTTTTAGCCGCGCCATTACCAATGGTCTCTGAGTGGCATACAACAATATTAAAACTTTAGAAAAATATTAAAACCATTAAAATTCCCAATATTATAATAATACTCTCTACATTAAAACAGTTAATTTATCATTAATAAATCCTGCGGCTCATACGGCCAGCTAAAGGATGCTATTTAATTCAAATGCTGGCTAAACTGAAAGGTCCTTGTCTGGTGCCAAAAAGCCAAAAGTGTCGGAGCCAAGTGGATCTCTATAGGAAAAGCGTTCCAAAGTAGGGAGGCAACAGCCGAGAAGGCCTTATATGTTGATAAGTTGAATGCCTGTCTGCCCGTATATGTCTTATCTCCCTATATCTGTAATTTTTTGAGTTGTCCACATCTCTCCCCAATTTATAAACATCTCTTTCTTTAGTAGAGATCCAGGGGTCTTGTCATCCAACAAAAAATGTTCAATAAGCAATTGTATTGTTCCTGTAGCTTTTGTAACTCTAAAAATCTGTAACCTGAAATCTGTCAGGCTGCCACTATGCTATTGTTCTGACTAACATTTTGCAGGAGTAAGACTCTGTAACTTAAAGCCCTTGTAAAATGAGAACCTTATAATGCCAAGATTCTAGATCACCAAATACTATCATCCTAAAATCCTGAAACGCTAGACCATTGTGAACTCACCTTATAATGCCAAGATTCTAGATCACCAGATACTATCACCCTAAAATCCTGAAACACTAGACCATTGTGAACTTAACATTATAATCACCAAAATTATAAGACTTACAAATCTGGCTTCATATTTAAGCACTGTAAAATAAACAAGCTCATGATAACATATACAAGTTAATTTTAATATAAATAGTTCAGCTGTCAGGAACTCTTTTTGTTCAGTGATCTTGCTGGGTAGGAAAGCTAGCTAACTGTTTTGGAGAAATTACAGTAAACTATTATTCAAGCCCAATTTTTAGAAGTGCTTTTATTTTCAGGGCTATTTCAGAACCAATGTTTTATACGCCCTTAATTTTTTTTAACACTCTAGACCACTGGTTCTTAACCAGAAGCCTTCACCACCAGCTGTCCTGACTGGGGTTTCTGGGAGTTGCAGTTCAAAAGCATCCGAGTAACAAAGGTTAAGAACCACTGCTCTAGACACATCAAATTTCAAACCTTGGCAGTCATGTCATCAGAGTAGTGATGAGTACAGAAAGAAATTGCACATGGCATCTTGTATTTAAAAGCCCTTTGTTCTAAGTGTTGACCTGGTCAGAGAAGGAGGTTGTGCCTCTCAGGATGTAACAGCCTTTTCCCCTGTCTGCCTTGCAGGAAGAGTGACTGTCATTCCTCCCTGCTGGTCTCAGCATAAGGAGGCTACAGTATAGAAAGTTCTTCAGGGTGCCCAGCTCCTGGTAGTCCTTCACTCACAGGAGGAAAGAAATTGTGGTTATGTGAATGGCCGCCACTTAAATTAAGACTATGCTCAACTAAACTCAATGGGGCTTCACAACATGCGAGACCATCAGCTTTTTATTTCTCTATATTGTATCATCCTGAATCCATGTCTACTTTATATACAATGAAGTTTCTAACGCCTCAGTGATTTCCTATCTTCATCAGGTCTCAAGAAATGGAAATTCACTGGATTTCTGGCTGGTCCAAAACCGTTGATCAGCACACCAAACCAAACTTCCACTCAGATTGTAATCCAAGTATTTTTGACTTACCAATATTATAAAGTGCTTCAGTGCATGAAGAATCATTCCTTAGAGATTCCTTATAAAACTCTGCCGCCTTCTCATAGTCTCCATTTACAAAAATGGTATTTCCTTTATTTGTGAGAGCAGCTGGGTTATATCTATCAGAACTTACTGCTAAATCTGCATATATGCTTGCCTGTGTAAATTCATTTTCCTGAATTAAATGCAAAACACAAATAGTTTATTAACCAGTTGAGACAAACAAGTAGACAAACATTTGACAGACTGATAGACAGACATACAATGAAAACGAGAACATATTTTTATGTTCTTTCACTGCTAATCACATCCTAAATTTCCTTTTCACAAATAAGTTAGCTGTGCAGATTACAACGAAAAGCTTTATAAACATGTAAAACTGCCACAATGAAAACAGTTCATTTTGCACCCTAGATAGTAGTGCCAGCATAGTAGCACATTGATCAAATTCCTGAAAATAAAAGAGATTTAGTTCTGCAATCATTTAATAATAGTCTGGCCTTCTTAAGAAAGGTAAGAGTGGATTTTCATTTTTCAAGAGGGCAGAAGAAAAGCACTGAAGTCCACTTAAAAATATTAATCATTGAAAATGCTTAATATCTTCATTCCCAATGTCCTTCCATTCACAGCTGTCTCTCTCTAAAGGCCCCAGTAGGATCAACATGGGAAAGCCATAATCATATCTACAAATGATGTTTTCTTAGATTAAAAAGAGCTATAAGAAGCGTGTTGGTATCCTGCTTGTCTTTTATTTTTTGCCATCAACAGCTGACAGCAGCTGTACCTTTGTCAGGTATAGGAATGGCATAAGGAGAAAAAAAACAAAAGAAACACTAACACACTTCCTGAAGTGCCTCAATCCTATCCGAATGTGAGGCCCCCTGGATCACTTTTAAATCAAAGAAAAATTGTTGGGAGATTCTGTCATAGCTGTTCTACATTCTACGCCTGGCTCTTCAATACAGTAAATAGTGGCAAAATTCAACAGAAAAATCATGAACATTTTACATATGGTTGCATGAGTAACACTTCTGAATCATGCACAGAATATTACTCAAGAGGTGAACCATACCCACACTACCATTCCTTAGATGCATGCATGGGAGAGATGAAGGACTCAAAGCAAGCCCATCTTTTTCTCTACTTAGCACTAATTGCATTATGTTAGACAACACTTTCTACAGTAGAATGATCTTGCTTTAAACTGTCATGGGTTAATAGAAGCACTCTTTATTTTCTTCCATTCTAAGTGTATTTCTGGCATCCGATGAAGAAGTTCCCTAATGAAGCTCTAGGCACAATAACTTCTACCACAATAAATCAGTTGATCTCAAAGAATCTAAAATAAATTCATTGTTCTTCATACATTACTGATACAGACTAACTAGACTTCTGGAACTTTGCACTCTTGACCTTGGTACAGGAAATACATTTTGTGTTACTCCCTGCTTTAAATTAGGAAATTAAAAAAATGATGTTAGAGTGCACTATCATAATAATGAATAGTTCAAATAAATAAAAAGTATTCAAAATGTATTTGTTTTCTCTGCTACTATTAACTAAATTTAAGAGAAAACACATGGAAAGATCAGATCATAAGCCCTTGGGGTCAGATTAATTAACCACCAGTCTAAATAGTTACTCACCAGGAAATAAAGAAATGAAAGGTTTGTTGCAGCTGCACTTTTAACTCTGCTATCCTTTTTTTCAAACATTTTCAAAGTCTCCACAGCCTGGAAGAAAATAATGAAGTCAATCATATTGTGAAACCACTAAAACAACAGCAACAACCCAGAACTTAATGTTATTTTCCTGCAGTGGGAAACAATGTAAAAAAATTCTTAGAAAATGCTGTAGATGTAATAGATCTTGACTTCAGCAAAACTTTTGATGAAGTGCCCTGTGATACTCTGATTCGCAAGTTGACTAGGTATGAGTGCTGGATGGAACAAATGTCAAGGGAATATAAGTTGGCTACAGAATTGTACTTAGGGAGTGTTATCAATGGCTCCTTCTCAAACCGGGAGGAGATAACAAGTGGAATACCAAAAGGCTCAGTCCTGGGCCCAGTACTCTTTAACATTTTTATTAATGACATGAATGCGGGGGTACATGGAATGCTTATCAGATTTGCAGATGACACAAAACCTGTTGGAATAGCTAATACCCTGGAAGACGAAACAAAATTCAAAATGGATCCGCAAAGGCTTTCACGGCCAGGATCTAATGGTTGTTGTGGGTTTTTCGGGCTCTTTGGCCATGTTCTGAAGGTTGTTCTTCCTAACAGTCTCTGTTTCGCCAGTCTCTGTGGCCCGCATCTTCAGAGGACATTCAAAATGTTTTTAACAGGCTTGAGCACTAGGCTGAAAACAACAGAAGGAAATTTAACAGGGATAAGCAACAAAGTTCTACACCTGGTGGCAAAAATAAATGCCCATTTACTGAATGGGGGATACTTTGCCCACTAGTACTACAAGTGAGAAGGATCTTGGAATTACTGTAGACCACAAGCTGAATGTGAGCCAACAGTGCAATGTGGCTGCAAAAAAGGCAAATGCTGTTTTAGGCTGCATTAACAGTAGTTTCCAAATTCATGAAGTACTAGTTCTCTTCTATTCTGCTACTAGTTAAACCTCATACTGAGTACTGTGGCCAGTTCTGGGAACTGCACTTTAGGAAGGATGCAGAGAAACCCATCCCTATGAGAAAAGACTGGAAGAACTAGACATGTTTAGCATTGAGAAAAGAAGACAAAAGAGAGATATGATAGGACTTTTCAAATACTTGAAAGACTGTCATACAGAGGAGGGCAGGATCTATAGTCAATCATCACAAACTGCAAGACACATACAGTAGTGCCTCGGTTTACGTAATTTTCAGTTTACAAACATAAATCTATTGAAAATACTATAATGCCTCAATTTACTATTTCTTTCCACAGTACAAAGCAAGTTTCCCCAGGACGCATTGTGCCTGAAGGTTTATAGCACCACCCCCGTTCCTATGGCAAACCGCATTTCAGTTTACAAATTTTTCACATTACATAACGTCCCGGAGAACGCATTAAATTCGTAGACCAAGGTATGCCTGTAATAATGGACTGAAGTTACTGGAAGTCATTTTGGGTGAATATCAAGGAAAAATTCCTCACTGTTACAGGAGTATGAGAATGGACCCAATTACTTCAGATTATCAGTGCTCCAACATTGGAAGCATTCAACAGAAAATTAGACTACAATCCATCAGATAGACTTTGATTTCGATTACTGCACTTAGCAGGGGTTGGAGTCAATGGCCTTATAGGACTTCTTCAATTCCATTATTCCCTGATTCTATGGCATAATAGACAGTGCAACGTCAAACCATGATATTACACTATTTAAAACCAGTATATGAAACGATTTACAAGAAGTATTTCCACTGAAATCAAACAGATATTCCTTGAAGTTAATATTCTTAGAGGTACATTAACCGAGACCTTGACATTTTTAGTTTTTTTTTACTACAGTTCCTAGACTCCACAGCGACCTTGGCTAGTGGCCATCGATGCTGCCTTTGAGCAGGATTCTGGGAATGATTATATGTGGGGAGGGGGAAAGATTTTTTCTAGCTTTGAATTAATCCAAATCACTCGTAGAACTGCACTGCTAGGATCTTAGCAATGTGTGTATTTGTAGATCACTGGTTCAGTAACTGGAAATAACAGCAAATGAGATCAAAAAGTGGGCATGCAAAGGTTTAACTGTTCTATACATTTTAACAAAAATTACCAAAAGCCTCACTTTTCTGAATATATGTGACTCAATAACTATGGAGAAAGTACACAGCAGGTCCAAAGAACCATATAAATGAGTGCCAACATACATATATGCAGGCTTTCCAACACCATTTGTGCAATATGGTTGTTTCAGTGTTGTGGATTCAGACACTGTCCTTCCAGTACGGTATTTTTCCGTGTATAAAATGACACTTTTTACTTAAATATTTAGACAAAAACTTGAGGGTTGTTTTATGAAGGCAGCCACTTTTCCTGCCTTTTGTGAAGCCACAGGGTGAAGCAGCTGTGTAAGGGCAGCAGGATCGCACCCCTTTGATCCTGAAGCAGCCATGAAAGGGCTACGCTACAGGATCAAAGAGATGCGAGCATGCAAACTTTCAAATTTTCTAATTTGGGGGTTAGAAAGGGGGGGTCGTCTTATATTGATCCTGAAGCAGCCATGAAAGGGCTACAGGATCAAAGAGATGCGAACATGCAAACTTTCAAATTTTCTAATTTGGGGGTTAGAAAGGGGGGGTCGTCTTATACATTGGGTCGCCTTATAAACAGAAAAATACTGAAAGTATGTCTCTTGTAGATATACAGTAGGGGCCCTAATTTGGGGGTTAGAAAGGGGGGGTCGTCTTATACATTGGGTCGCCTTATAAACAGAAAAATACGGGAAGTATGTCTCTTGTGGATATACAGTAGGGGCCCCCTATCCACGGGATCAGTATCCACTGAGTTACTTACCCATGGTCTGAAAATATTAAAAATATTTTTTTAAAATCAATTAAAATACTATTTTCCCATGTATTACCAGAACTGGCCACTAGAAGATGTCTATGGCATCCTCTAGTGGCCTGTTCTGGTAATGTTTGTGAAAATAATTTTTCTGTTTCCCCCCCCCCTTAACATGCTATCTATCTATCCATCTATCCATCTATCTATCGTGGTACCTCGCAAGACGCCGACCCCTCTAAATGACAAATCCGCATTACAATGACTTTTTGCAATTGCTATAGCGATTCGCAAAACAGTCATTCCTCTCTCTCTCTCTCTCTCTCTCTCTCTGTCTATCGTGGTACCTTGCAAGACGCCGACCCCTCTAAACAACAAATCTGCATTACGACGACTTTTTGCGATTGCTATAGAGATTCGCAAAACAGTCATTCCAATGGGGGATTTTCGCTGGATGTCAGTTAGGTCTGTGCTTCGCAAACCGTTTGTTCACAAGATGATGATTTTTTCCAGTGATCGTCGGCTTCGCAAAATGGCTGCCCTGTGTTTTCCGGACCCATGCTTCACAGGGCAGTCATTTTTACAGCTGATCGGCGCTCGCAAAATGGCTTCCCTATAGGTGATCTATCGATCTATCTATCTATCTATCGATCGATCTATCTATCTAGTTTGCTATTATCCACGGTTTTCCAGATCCACCAGGGAGGTTTGGAACCAATCCACAGCAGGCATAGGGGTCCTATTTTATTACATTTTCCCAGCACCCAGAACACAATGGTTGAAATCCAGTAGTAAGTTGCAACTAAAGTATGACTACTACATCACTGGAACTTACAGACAAGTTGACTCATCAAACTCTCTATGCAGCTTGGAAATCACATATTTCAATGTCTGAAACAATATCTCCCCACTTGCCCCATTCCATTGATTGAAATACATCCTACATCTACTCTGGGACACCTCTTGAACACTATGGCCAAAATCCTGTTGCTTAGCATAGGAAATTGCACTACAGTGGGCCCACTGAATCAATGAGGATTTAGTGAGCCAATTCCATTGTAAGTTCCATCAAATGCACCTACTCTGTCTGTGACTTATTTTAGCATAGTAAGTTACAATTAGTACTATTTGAATCATTGGAACTTATGGTGGAGCTGACTTACTAAATTCCCAGTGATTTAATAGGCTTACTCTAGTGTGATTTACTATGCTAAGCAGCAGGAAATTTGCTTATATGTCACTGGGAAAAGGACTATTCTCTCCCAGAGGCACTTCCATTGTAATTGTGAATGCCACATGGTATGTGCTTATAGAGGTCTTACGGAAATCTCTTGGACAGCACCCATGGCATTACCTATGATGTGTCTCACTTTCCTGCCCATGCCATTTTATTATCTTTTCAAGTGTTCAAATGCTTTTCATGTTCTTTCTTTAGGTGCTGAGCATGCATCACCACTTCATTCTTAATTTTAAAATAACTGAGACCTGTGTGTACCCCTTTTCTGGTATTGTATTATACAGCTGTTTGCTTTCAAAAACAAAGTGACCAACAGTTACTCTCATCTTACTTTGCAGCAAAGATCGTACCAGCAGAAATCTATGTGGTTATAAAAAAGTGTTTCTGGTTCCAAGTTTACTCTAGCAAAATAATATAACTGAAGGAAGTGCTACATTTTAAAATATGTGTGTCTTAAATAATGTTAGCTTGCAAAGATAAATAAAAGGGGCATATTTTATAAGAGAAAGTGCAGTATTCTGTGGTATGGAAGAATATTGATCATAATCACATACACTGTTGCCATTGTATTTTATCTACTGAAATTTACACCTTTCTTTTATTTTGTACCTGAAACTTGATCCTTCCCCGCCATATAAAAATACTTATTACAATCCATTGGGCTGTTTTCTCACACAGAGACGTTTTTGAAGCACAAAATGTTATTTACTTATTATAAAGTTTCTGTACCTGAGAGGACCAAGCCAAGAATGTGAAGTGGATTTTAGTTTTACAGTTTCAGCACAAGTGCATTACTGTCTTAATTTATGAAGTGCGAAAGAGGATATATGCAAAGCACATGGAGTGAGCTCGAGTTTATTGCTCCCCAGCACCCCACTTAGGAAATACATGCTAAATCTACATCAGAATATTTTTCTTATTATGATGAATTATCTACAGAAACCATTATTTCAGAGAGAATGGGAAAACATTTAAGATGGGCACAAATAGTATAAAAA